GTAATTGTCATTATAGTCAGCACTGGCCCTAATTTGAGACTACATATTCAGTGCAGGGGAATGGGACTCCTTTCTGTCCCTCAACATTCCCTCCCTCCATTGCCAAGTCTTGTTTCTTTCACCTCCCCAGACACTGACAGAATTCAGGACAAACTGTAAAAGATTGGAATGGGCTTTTGGAAATGGCCTATGAAAGGCTATTAAAAATTCGTATATTTAAAAAGATTGTCTTATAGGTCAATTAAAAATCATACCAGTAAAAAAAAAAAAAAAGTCTGGGGTTGTTCTGGGAGAAACCATTACTTTAGCTTCTGATTAAACTCTGATGTTTCCAATATTTGAAAGTTTCCCTTTGGAAAGAGCAGTAGAGTCTACTCTAGTAAAGCGTTCCATGTTATCCCCAGAACTTTGGAAGCAATCTCGATGATTGTAGGATAATCAGAAATATTGAAGTTCTGGCTGTCACCTGGGACTTTTTTTTTTTTTTTTTCATCTTTAAATGAAGAAACTATCATCAGTTTTCTTCCTGTAAGTCAAAACCATACAAGATAGTCTGTTCTTGATTACCTATACCCACAAAAGATATGGGACAATCGAACTCTGTAGATTACCATGGGCAATTGAACTCTGTAGATAACTGCTAACCAAGAACAGAAACACTGCCTGGAGATCCAAAGCCAAGAAAATTATTTAGGGCCTAGTTCAATGTCACTTCCAGTGACAGAGTCCATTTCTACCTTGAAGGTTGAGATCGTGTTTCTGTTGTGTTATCTCTGGCCTAAATGATTAGTTGGAAGGGAAACTCTCATTGATAACAGCATGCCACCTTCATTATTGAGATAACTAAAAATTAATTATAGAGAGTTGGCAGTCTGGAATAGTGGTCAAGGGCATGGATTATGAAGTTAGACTGTGGGTTTATATCAGGGTTTCCCATTTACTGGCTGTGATCTCAGGTGAATGCTTTAACTTCTCTGATTTGGTACTTATCTGTAAAACAAAGTATTATACATACTATTAATATACAAAATTATTAGCTATTCCACATAATTTTATTATTAGATGTCAAGTAGACATCGAACGAATGAAAAAGAATTAGCCAACAAGAATTTATTAACTGCCTGTCTTGGTTAAGGAAGAGCTAAGAGAAAAGACTGAAATAAACATAGGAATAATTTATGTCAAGTTAATTATCATGTAAGAAATGCTAGTAGGTAAAGAGATTCTATGAAACATTGATAAGTATAGACTGTATTTTAGCAAAGTCACTGATAGTGAATCGATTCTGTAATAATGGGCTTTCCTCTTCTTGCTATTATTGTTATCTCAATTTTCCGAAACAGCTTTAGCTATTGTACTTACTTTCCTTCACAAAGCTATTTTGCTGCTCTGAAGGGTATGTGTTTCACCAGGCCAGCAAGCATTTTTCACTGTGTGGTATCCTTGGGGTATCCTTATTGTAGAAAGACTATAAAAACAAAACAAAACAAAACATGTTTAAATTCTAAGTAATTTTTTTTTCAAAGATAAATAAGATCCTTAAAGTATTTAGTGGTTCTGTCTTTCAGAATAGTGCCATTATATACAAACCATTGAAACAAATGTTCGCTTGATTATTTTAGTTTGTAAGTATGTGCCTATTATATGTATATTTTTATTTGGTAGGCTTGAGTTTGAAGAAACTGAAGAACCTGATTTTACTGCGTTATGTCAAAAATTAAAGATACCAGATCATGTCAGAGAAAGAGCTTGGTTAACTTGGGAGAAAGTTTCATCTGTGGATGGAGTATTGGTAAGGACTTTTCTAAAATTTTTTAAACACATTTTTCTCATTTAAAAAATAATTTTGGATCACTTAAGAAAATTTGGAAAATAGAAAAATATAAAGAAAAGCTAGTAGTAATTCTATTACCCAGAAGTAATTTACCTCCAGTAACATTAAAAAATATTTCCCCCCACATAAGCCCACTACTGAAGTATTTTAAAGCCAATCTTAAATGTATTTTATTTATAAATATATCACTGTGATATAAAGAATTTTTTAAAAAACAAAGCCATGCCTTATAAAATAAATTTTAATACCTTCTAATATGCAGTGAGTGTTCAGATTTCCAACAAAGTCTTCGAATTTGTTTTGTTAGAATTCAAGATCTTTGATAATATTTTGATATGTTTCTTCCATTTTTTTCTTTGCATATATGTGTGTTTATAATAATAACACTTGCAAATAATTACTAGGCTTTATATGTACTGGGGGACATAGTAAGCACTTTGCAAATTGGTCATTTAACAATCCATTGAGATGTGAAATATAAAATATTTTACATGTATTATGTAAAATCTTCATTTTATAGGTGAAGACACTGAAGTAGAGTCAGGTTAAGTAACTTGACCAAGGTCCCTGGCTAATAAGATCTAAATCACAGATTTGGAATCAGACATATACTTATATATAGTTATATGTAGTTACATATAGTGTATCTTAATTTAAAATATTTTTCTTAACATATCTTGAGTATTTTCTTGTTATTAAAATTTTTTTTTTGATATTTAATAATGTAGTATCCTTTGGTGGTGTACTATTTCATCCATTAGGTGTATATTAATTTATTAACGCTTACTGTTGATGCAGGACAGGGCAAATTTCCCTGAGTGGCGGGAAGCTCAAGTCCTGTACTGAGAGAGAGATTTTTGGCTGAGTGCAAGTAAGAATTCAAAGGAAAGTTTATTAAAGTAGGAGTAATGCTCCGAAGACAGAGTGATCTCTCAGAGGCAGAGTGCCTGAGAGAGAATCAGGAACAGAGACAATAGAGACGGAGAAGGTGAGAGGAACAGAGGAAAAAACACTGAGAGGAACTGAGAAAAAGACATAGAGAGACCCCCAGGGAATTTATATATCATTCTTTAGTTTCTTTGAATTACAGTTTAAAGACTTCGTTTACCCATTTTCCTTTGATAGTATGAGCATACAGTGAGAAAGGATAAGAGAATGTAGCATGAAAAGGCAAGAATATGTAGTGCGAGAGGCCCGCTGGCAGTTCTCAGCCTTTGATTCATCAGTTCCCCATGGTTTTAGCCATAAGGAATGAATGATTTTGTTCTGTGTAGGGCACAACTTAAAGACTGTTTACCTGTTTTCCCTTGATGGTATGGGTAAATGGTATGTTAACAATCCCAGCAGAAATCTTACCTTGTTCTGCAGGTTTCCTCCTGTTCTGGCCAAAGGGCTGATCAGCATATTGCAGTCTCAATCTAGCTTGATTTAACATTTTAGTTCTCTTGCCTCCTCTCTACTATTATTAGACGTTTATTTTTTTCCCAATTTTTTGCTCTATAAAATAATGAGATAAATATCCTTATTCATAAGAATAATGCCTGGCACAAAATAAGTCCTTGATAATTTGTTAAATGAATGAATCTCCAATTATTAGAATAAATTCTCAGAAATTGAATTACTGAGTCAAAAGATATGAAGTCTTGGTAATTATTGCTAAATTGCACTCCAGACAATCACTTTTATTAAATTTAATTTCTCATCAGCACTGAATTGGAGTACATCTGTCTCTTTTTAACGATTAGATCAACAAAGCAAAATATGTTTATATACATC